GGGGGCGAAGCCTACTCTTATCAATTTTGGATCACCAGGGGATCTTTAACGTGCTCAACTTGCCCACGGGACCTCCAAGATTTTTCGCCCTTGTCCGAGTAGGCTAGGTGTTGATCTTTCCTACAAGAAGATCAGGGGTGTAGCTGAAAGACATCAGTAAGAAGGAGCTAAGGATTAGCAATAGAAAGGCTGCAGAAAGAGTCAGGAGCCCATATGAGGGGACAAAGGAGGTGGGGGCAGAAAGTGGATACGAAAGCAGACGACGGAACATTGCTAGAGAGCAGGAAAAGAGGTGAAAGGAGACCATTTTAGAAAAGAAAATTCGAACCAGGGACCTTTGAATGAGAGGCGAACGCCTTAACCTCTAGGCCACGAGAACACCCGTGTGGGTGCGTGAAAGTTTAAAAGGTTATATTATATTAATAGCACATACTGTTGTTATACATTTATAACCATATTTGGTGAGAGAACAAGAGTCCTGCAAGAACAAACTCTGTTTTTAAGGGTGGGGGTGGGGGTGTTTTTGCGGGGGCGTTGATGGGAAGTAGACAGATGATAGGAGCTTTGAAAAAAAGAGGGGCAAGCGTTGAGAAAGGGTGAGTGAGTGGAATTTTTGCACCAAAGCTTAGTGCATCGGCACCAAGCTGTCATAGTAAGATTTTTTTTCAAAAGAAGGTTCTGCGAGCAAATGTTTAGCAGAGTAATTTTTGTTTTGTTTTTTAGCAGAGCTTAGTTTACTGCTAATAAGAATCTGAATTGATGAGGTTGTGAGATATGCGGCGGAATGGCAAAGGCTTCTGGGGTTAAATTTGTTTTGTTTTTGTTTTGTTATTCGATTTTGTATTTTTAATAGTGGCGAGTCAGTCTTGCCATTTAAAAGCAGAGCAAGCAATAACGATGCTGTCTTCCTTGCACATTAAATTGTTCCTCTTGAATATTAATTAAGCAGATAACAATCCTGACTACAGATTGTAGATGCTTCATGGCCACACTGGCACAACTTAGACGGTTTAGGAGGCGGGCTGTGCTGCTTCGAACCTACCAGTCAGGGCGACCCCAGGGCTGGATACAGTAGGTATCCAAAAAGACAGGCCGAGATACTCTCCTACAACTTCCCTCTCGGGAACCGAACTCGAGTCTTCCGCGTGCATTGGCGAAAAGCCTAACCATCACACCATAGAGGCCGGTAAGAGTAGCCAAGAACTTTTGTAGGAGTGAGTATTGGTAACTCCTATGTCTTTTTATGTGTACACTTCTCTTTAAAATGGGGAGGGGTTGGGGGGGGGGGATTGTAGGGGTGTACTTAACATGAAACTTAACGTGTGCGCACGTTTGTGTATAATATGTGGTAATGAGGTTTACGATAGCCGAAGATAAAATTAGAGCGTTGGGTTTGTTTGGGTGGAGTGCTGTTGTTGTTTTTTAAACGTAAGTCTCGAGAGAGGTGAAGCCTACTTTCGTATAGTGTATGAGCTAGTGAGAGTACATCTTCCTTTTTCCCGACCCTTTTTAGAGAGTAAAAAATACGGTGAGGTGGCGAGGCAGCGCAGAGCGCCGAAACGGGTACTTTGAAGTGAAAATAAGTGAAAACTTAAGCCCTTTCCCGTGGGGCCAAAAAAAAAGGGGGGGGATGAGGGGTTCTACTGATGTGGTAATGAAGTGAGTGCATGAAAAAAGAAACATGCTGTATCCCCATGGCAATAGATTTTTTTTGTCTGCGATAATAACCTAAAGCCACGCCCCCTCAAGGAAGCGAGAGTTGGTATTGAGTGTTCACTTTGAGTTTGGGAGTGGAGGTGGATTGAGGGGGCGGCGGTCGGAAAGGGGGTACATTTTTCAGGCGCTCAGCGAAGTGTGTCGATCTCTATACTGCAATAGTGAACTTTACTGAGCAAACATGTAGGTAGGGTAGGGGCTGGAAATATCGTGGTGCTTGCGTGGGGAGGGAGTGAAGGGGAGGGGTGGAGGGGAGGAGGGGTCGTTTCCATCTTATCTCGTTTGTCTGTTGAGAGTAATGCAGCCTGGTTTGGATGAACCCGGAAGGCACGGCCATTACAGAAGTTTTACACTTTCCATAATGGGGAAATGAGAGCTTTAAAATAACTTAAGCTTATGATAATCGTATACGAGAGTAGGCGCGAAAAGGCAAGCAGTTTGCTGACTCAGCGATCTTCTTTCTTCACAACCTACATACGATTCAAGTCTTCAGAGATTGTCAAACTATTATTACAAATGTACACGGCCTGGTGGTTGTGGTGGTGGAAGTTGCGGTGGTGGTTGTGGAGATGATGATGATGATACATTGTAGTTGTATTATCGTCCAATTCGAAAAATCACAGCAGAATCGATTATGTTCGGCTGTCAACAAAGTGTATAGCAAACATAATAATAGAAAAGTAACTAAAAGCACGTTTACATAATCAATAAACTAAATGAACTCTCTCTCTCTCTCTCTCTCTCTCTCTCTCTCTCTCTCTATCTCTCTCTTTTTCTCTTTCTTTCTTTCTTTCTTCTTTCTCCCTCTCTCCTTATCCCCCCTCTCTTTTTCCCCTTTCTCACTCTTTCTGTTTATGTCTATCTGTCTGTCGTCTTCCTGTCTGTCTGTCTGTCTGTCTGTCTGTCTGTCTGTCTGTCTGTCTGTCTGTCTGTCTGTCTGCCTGTCGTTCTGTCTGCCAGTCTGTCTATCTGTCTGTCTGTCTGTCTATCTATACATATGTGAAAACGGTTTGACTATTTCTTAGCCTTAGTGTGGGAGCATTTTTTATTTGTTGTTGTTTTTGGGATTCACTTGTGTGTCTGTTTGTTTTTGTACGTGTGGGTGGGTGTATGGGTGTGTGTATGAATAAATCAGTTTTGTGTCCGTGTGTATGTGTGGGAGTACGTGTCTGTGTGTATTCATAAGTATGTGTCCCTAACTGTGGGTATTTGTATTTGCACGTGTGTACGACGCATGTGCGTGTGTCCAACCGACCCAAAGAAAAGGATATAGAAAAATAGAAATAAGAATGTAAAACTCACCTTTACCAACAAATTTGTAGCGCGTAGAGTAAGATCCACAACAGTAAGCGAAACACGCACGTCTTGTACACTACCCGAACCCCCGGGAGCGCAGCGCCTCAGTAAATCCATAACTCGAATGCCGGTGTGCACAAGCCATCGTGAAATTCACAACACAAATCAATGCTACAATAGTTAGATTTTCGTCTTACGAAATTCCCGATCTTGCATCATCACAAACCATTTGTTGGATATCGATAAATTCGTCTTGACTTGAATTGTCAGTACAATTTTAGTGTACTAAAATCGACGACAATCAAGAAAATCGAAGTGAAATATAGTTGATACGACGTAGAACAGTTGAGCTCTGTTTTGTCGTCACACCCTTCAATTTAGACCTCAGACAGACGCGAGAGCGTGAATGAATATTTCTGTCACAGCAGACGTTGTGGGTTGCTTCCCCTTACTCAAGCAGACGATGTGAGAGAGCTCTCGTTTGCTCAGCACGCGCGTTCACGCGCCGGCGGAGTTTGCACGGGATAGCCTCCCTTTCCTGGTACCGGGCGATGAATGAATGAACGAATGAATGAAAAAAAAAATGAATGGATGAGGCAGGGAAGCGGCAAGTGATTCGGCGTATCGCTCTTGATACCCTCCAATAGTTTCATTTGAGGATCGACCACATTAGATGGTGAAATATTGCACGGTTTTAAATACTCGTGTTTGGCTTTGAGTGTGCGTGAGTTCATACTTGCGCATGTGCCTGCATGTGTGCATGTGTCGGTTTGTGTGTGTGTGTATGTGTGTGTGTGTGTGTGTGTG